AATTAATTATATTCATTAATTTAGCTGTAGACAGAGGAGTGTTTGTTCCGAAAGTTTGAAGAGGAGCCATTAATTGTTTCCTCTTTCTAATAGTTGCATTTACCTGCTTAATAATCCTTTTCTTTTGAATTTTTGAATTAGATTTGAACCATTTTGCATCCTTTACAGTGTCTTGCAGATCTTTCTTTTTAGCCATTAATTCCATAGTATCACTAGGAGAAGCATTTACTATTAATGAATTTAATGGAATACATTTTGCTCCCAAAATTTTCAATTGATTCTTTTTGGAAGTAACCTTGTCAGCTTTACGTTTTAGAACTAGAACACTTCTTTGATTATCATCATGAGCAATAATGGAATAGGTTTGATTTTTTCTACTTGCAATCAGTGTTTCGAATGGAACAGTTTCAATATGTTGTAATTCTTCCTTTCTGATTTTATAATTTTTAACCTTTTTAATTTTGTCAATGCATAGGGCAACATATTTTCTCTTCAACCATTGAAATACTCTATTACAACAAAATCCTTGATGAATGTGTTTCTTTAATTCTTTGGATGCAAGATTTCTTCCTGTTTTATTCAATAAAAAAGCTCTGTACCAACGTTTCTTGTTGTGAGTTGTTTGACAGCAAACACAAACAGTTCCTTTATCAATTAGTTGTGTTGATCGTGATGACAACTTACACATTTTTTTCCCAAGTTTTTCTTTCTGACAGTTCTAGAGAAAATTAGAATAATTTGTGCAAATTTTATTTTTAGCAACCAGCTAAAAAAACTGAGCTGAAAATTCCTCATTGCTTTCTTTACCTTTTTTCTCAATAACCAGAGAGAGAACTGCGGAGAACTGCAAGATTTGGATTGTTTACATCAAATAATAGTGATAATGGTAAGATCAGTTTCTAACTCGTGTTTCTGTACGTTTCCAACAGAGTTAAAGTTAAGGTAAATTACGCTCAGAAACAGCTGGTAAATTTCCACTTTTTTCCATTATTTTTTAAAAAAAACACAAGTTTATGCTGTAGCAAAGGACATCCGATACACGAGTACCTCTAGAAAATGCTGGAAATGAAAAAATTAAAAAATATTTCATCACCAGCTATCGCATCATTTGTTTTAAACTCTCTAATTTATTTAAAATTAATATTAAATAATTAATTGATTATTAGATAATAGATAATGCCTCCTCGTAAGAAAGTAGAACAACAAACAAGTTCTTTTGCTTGTCTTGAAAATATTTCGGAACATGAAATTCAACAAATTGCTGTTAAAAAGAGGAGAGGACGACCAAAAACAAAGCCTTCTATTTATGCCGATTTTCCAATTGCTGATTGTATGGGAAGAAATTGGATTTTGAGTAATGAAAGTGAATTGAGAAGCAAAGTAGATTCATTCCGATTAGTGTGTTATAATATGCTTTGTCAAGACTATGCAAAGAAACCATACTTTCCACACTTGTCGGATACCACTGAAATTTTGAGTTGGATTAATAGAAAGCATAGA